CCAGGAGTCATAGAACCTGACATGTGGTAAGCCCCCACTCTTTTGTTAGCCTTTAAGATATATTTTAACCTCAAAGCTTATGCTCTCATCCGTAAAACAAGAATAGCAATATCTGTTTTACTTTAGAGGCGTTTTTCACAGATTATGCATTTTTAAAGTGCTGCATAACTTGTAAAGTGCTATTCAAATGCAAGATATTGTCTTTACACCTGAAGATCCCTGGACAACATGATGAGGCCCATTCTCACTTTTTAGAAACATAAGTGACTGCAAACTGAAGGTGGACAATAAAATGCTAATAGTCAAGGGTATAAATTATGACTGCTTTCTGAACATTAACATTCTCAAAACATTAGAAACCCTTTTACTGTAAGTTACAAATGTAATGGAAGTGGAAAAACAGCAATAATTATTTAGAACACAGGAATTTAAAATATTAGATTGAAAATCAGAGCAATTTTTTTGTGAAAATAATTTATCAAGAGTAGTTTGAACAGTGTTTGTCTCTTCTTTTTGTCATATGACTAAAAGCAGACTGAGCATTCCTACCCCTTGTGACCTGCCACACTGTATCCCAGGCAGATCACATTCTGCTTCATCCTCTGCACTTATGCTGCTGTGGAGCAGCACCAAGAGCTTCTTAATGTGAAGCTGTTTGCCAGCATCACTTCCTCTAGGCCACACCCATCCTTTCCGTCACACTCTATTCATTTGTGCCAATGAACTCCTCTAGGCCAGTTCCTCTGGCTTCATATCTGGGCTGTCTTCAGTGGTGGCCATGTCAACCTTTTCCTGGTCAGCCATTTCTTCTGTAACTATTTCCGTTCTATTAGAATTTTACTGCCAGCAATACCAGTTTCCCTTTTTCTGCCTCAGTGTCATCTTTGTTGGTCAACATCACATTTTAATTATCCATATCCAGTAAAATGCTACGTCGGTTTATCATTGAAAGATGAGAAGGCAACACAACCACATACTTTGCTGTCTATACGTGAGCTGAGTAACCAGTACACAGTGACCAAATGCTGACATATTTAAAAGAAGTGATATGAGTCCTGGTCTGATGGCTCAGTTGGTTGCAATACCATCCCATTCACCAAAAGGTTGTGGGTTTGATTCCCCATCAGGGCACATACCTAAGATTTCAGATTGGAACCCAGTCGCAGCATGTATGGGAGGCCACCAATCAATGTCTCTCTCTCACACTGATGTTTCTCTCTCTCTCTTTCTCCACCTGCCTCTCATTCTAAAAATCAATAAAAAGCATTTTATTATAAAAGAAGTGACATGATTGGTCACTAATCAGGATGTGCATCTGTACTCACATAGTGATCTGTGGACAGGAGAGATAGAAGGGAAGTTTACACCTTAGGCCAGTGTTTCCCAAACTTCTCTCATGATGAGAAACATCTGATGGAGTTGTTAAAATACAGATTCCTGAATCCCATCTAAGAAGTACTAAACTAGAATTTTTGGGAACATATAGGTAATATTGTATACTTAACTTAGTGCTCTGTCTTAGAGCAATAGTTAAGTACCATATTTTCCGGCGTATAAGACGACCCCCTAATTTTACAGTTAAAACATAGGTTTAGGCCTATATTCGCTGTATAAGACTACCCCCCACTTCAAAGAAAAGACTTACTTTGCCGTCAAGATCTGCAGGTAATTTTTGTGCAATTTTGGTCTTTTGCCCCCGATTTTCGGTTGACTTTTTTTCATTTCAAAAGTTGTCTTATACGCCGGAAAATACGGGTATACAATTTTACCTATATGTTTCCAAAAATTCTAAGTTTAGCACTTCTTAGTTGGGATTCAGGAATCTGTATTTTAACAACTTCACCAGGTGATTCTCATCATGAGAGAAGTTTGGGAAACACTGCCTTAGGCAATGACTCATAGTTAATATAGCAACACTATTGAAATGTGAATCATGCTTTTGAGAGGTGGTTGTTATCTAATGAAACAGTAACCGAAATTTGTACATCTTAGAGCCATGCAGAGTGAGAACCATCTTCACTTGCAGTGTCTCAGGATGCATAAGTTCCCCATTTAGCATTCTCAGCATTTGAAGAGAAAGAAAGATGTTATTTCTTTGGCTTTCTTCGTGTAACTCTTGATGGACCTTTTCTATTACTTCCAAGAAAGTATGGTGAAGAAATCAAAGAAGCTTTCTATGACTGTCACTGTTAGGTCTGATCAAATAATGGAATCGATATCCCCTGGAAACTGACCTTTAGGCCACTTCATAAGGGACATTCCCTTTTGCTTAGATCACATTCCACTTCACTAAGACCTTATACTTCCCCTCCAGATCTTCTAGGATTCAGGCCCGCCCAAAGAATACTCTGCCCAGAAAAAGCCCACCTAGAGTTCTTTAAAGTCTCTGACTTCCCAGCCCAGGAGCTGGCACCATTTTGGGGCTTAGCTCATCTGGTTTTCATATAGTCATAATTCTTTACCTCTTTTGGCCTCGTGAGCTCCTCCTTCGGCGACCCTAACTGTCACTTAAGTGAGCTTATTTTAAATTAAGTTACACTGTGGTAAGAGACAGACAAATTAGTGAACTTCAAAATAGAACTTGATTGAAAAACACTTGAATTTATTTTCAGAGAAAGTAAAAAACTTGTACATGATTTTCCTTAGTTTTAATCATTTAACTTTACTATTTCATATCTGTGCATCTCTCTAGTTGTCACTCTTCTTGTACCCAGAATAAAAGTTCAGTCAGATCAAATGTTAAAAGTACCCCTATCCCATGATGAGTTTCTGCTAAGATCCAGAAGCTCATTTAGGCCTGCAGGCACTCCGCCTCCTTGGGGTTAATGGCATATAAAGGAATTATAACACTGGACCTCTCACTTCTCAGAATAATACCAATTTGTTGACATTATCTCTTAAACTGTCTAATAATGGTTCATCATCCTGATTTTAGAAATATTCATCAATGCACTCTGCACTCTTCTTATAAAAAATACAATAAGTTATTTTTACTAACTTGGGAAGGTACTTATTACTTTTATAATCATAAAGTTATTTTAAATTTGAATGAACCAACTAATGAACAAATTAATAAATAAATCTAAATAAACATGAAGATATTTACTCAAGGATGGCTGATGATGTGTTCTACTCTGATTTTTTATAATAACCATCTAAGGCCTAGTGAGAGAAACAAGAACATAAATGTGGGGACCTGATGTGGCAGGGATCTCCCTTTTCCACGTCCCGCATGGAAAGAGAGATGAACGAATGGGTTCTAAGTGGAGGTGGCCAGGGACTGAGAAATATTAGAAATAAAGAGAGAAGACACAGAGATAGATTTTAAGCTGGGAACTGGGAAGGCCGCTGACCTCCTCTGCTGGAGAGAGAGACTGACGACCTCCTGAGCCATGCAGCACATCTATTTATTCTCCAATCCAACAAAGGGTTTCACAGGAAAACAAGGAGCGCGGGAGGGCCCAGTCCCACCCACTCCTTCCTCCTGGACAAACACAAGCCAGGAACTAAGAACATCTTCGCACTCTCAGGTCGGGAGTGCAACTGACATGACTCAGCCAATATCCCAGGCCCAGTTAGCAGCAATCTAAAGAATATCCAGGTGTCTTTCCATTTGGCCCTCTACACATAAATAGTTAATTAAATCATAGATTGGTAAGTGGGGAAGGGTGTCACAATATAGTAGATACTTTTAGAAAATACCAAACATAGCTTTGAGGAAAATAAGGAATGTCTGGTCAGGCTAGCTCTGAAAGACTACGGGAATTACCTTAGCAAAGAAGGATGGATGGTTCCTACAAGAACCACAGGTGCAAAAGTCTGGAGACAAGAGAAGGAAAATGATGAATTCTAGAAAATAAAAGAAGTTCCATGCTAAAGAACTTTGCCATGACAGGCACAGAGAGGCCAAGAGGTCTTAAAAAGAGAGTGCCCTGTTCTGATTTGCATTTCAGGAGAACCATTTCTAAAGTTATGGTTTGACTAGAGAGAGTGGGGCAATGCAGAGAAGGCCAGCTGGGATGCAACAGACTCACTGGAAGCCAGAAGCCCTAGGAATCCTGAGATGGGAGAGGATTCTAGAGGTATTAACCAGGTAGAATCAAGAGAGAGTTGTGACTACTTTTGGATATTGCAGGTGACTTGAAATTTCCTGTCTGACAACTTGGTGGTTGCATTAAATACAATATATAATAAAGGAAGATTAAATTGAAAGGAAATATGGTAATTTAATTTAAACATATTGACTTTGAAAGAAATGTAAGGCATAGAATGAGCTTGCCTGTGTGTTTTTCTGCTCTTTGCATGGCCTGAGACAGATAAATCCTGTGAGGAACCAGCCGGTGGGGAAGGATGTGGCACTATATTCACTCAGCACAGGGAAACAATGCGTAGGGCCCTTTGGAGACAAAGGGCAGCCTCCTATTGGCAAGTTTATTTTCCAGGATTAAGGCTATAAATAGCCCCATTTATTTGTGTGTCTGAACAAAATGGCTAGGAAGCCTGGTCAAAGCTTCTTGTACCACCGAAACCAGGTTGGCTCAGTGGATAGAGCAGCGGTCTGGACTGAAAGGTCCCAGGTTCGATTCCGGTCAAGGGCATGTATATTGGTTGCAGGTACATCCCCAGTAGGGAGTGTGCAGGAGGCAGCTGGTCGATGCTTCTCTCTCATCTATGTTTTTAGCTATGTACCAAAAGCTACAGATATCTTAAACTATTAAAATTATGTTTTAAGTGACTCATGGCCTAAAAGTAACAATAAAGGCATAAGAACAGGTTGAAGGACTTCTGTGAATAACCCTATGGCTGTGGCTGGAAGAAGTACCTGGGTTGAAAGACTTGAACTTCACCATGTTCTTGTATATCCAAAATATGCCCAGGCCACTGACTACTACTCACTCCTTGTTATGGTCACGGATCAAATTGCCTAAAAGCCATACAACCCACTTTTTATCTTTTCCCAAATGTAAACAGGAAAATAATCAAAAGCATTTTTAGCTCACATGGAAGGATGTCTCGATATCTGTTTTTGTCCCTGTTGCATGGTTCATTCCCACAGTTGGACTGATAACGCAGATCCTTACTGTCCAAAGCCTTTGGAGGTAAGAAGTCACGTATTTACTATAACAAAAGACATTTGCCTTTGTCTATTGTTCATGATCCTTAACACTCTATATGACATGACCTGATATTAAATGTGTTTTATGAGTAATGGATATATTGAACCCTCTTTAAAAAGTACTATAGGAAATATCTCAAACTTCAGGTGTCAATAGACAAGTGGCTTTATAAGGAAATGTTAAAATCTAAGAGATTCTTCTTTTGCTAGAACTTCAATACCTTTCAATTTTCCTTAAAAGAAAAGATATAGAATAATCACTTCTTAGGACCTACCCAAAATCTATCATTTTATAGACAAAAATGACAGCAACAAAAATATATAAGCATATAAATAAAAAGTATAGTCTCACAAGTTACTACTTGCCCTGCAAAGAAATTATAGCTGGGATACTAATTAGAGAATTCTTCCTATCAAAATAATTTATTTACCAAGTATAAATCTAACAAACATTTATTGTATATTTAGAATGTATTTGCACTGTTCTAAACTTTAAGAATACAAAAATGAATCTGAACGTGAATATGGCTTCATCCTACGTTAGTTACAGGAGAAGTTGACATGATGGACATGTGAACGTGTACAAAGACACCAGTATGATTGACAGCACTAGACATTACCTGAAGGTATGGGGTTGGTGGGGAATGTATTGCATGAAACCACTGGGCTCTACCTGAAGGTATGCAGTTGGAGGACAGACATGCGAACAAGTACAAAGACACCAATATGACTGACAGCATTAGACTTTATCTGAAGATATGGGGTTAGAAGGGTGTACATGTGAACATGTATATCAACATGAATGACAGCACTGAATGTATGGGAAGGAAAGCTCTAGAAAGTAATGAATACTTGAACTGAGCCTTCCTGAGTCATTGGAAGTTACTCACGTGAAAGTCTGTGTGTGTGTGTGTGAAAAAAAAGAACAGAAATGAGTTGCTATCATTCCAGATAGAGGACAAGAATAAAGGCATTGAGATATATATGTCCTCTCAGGGAAATAGTGGGTAGTACCCAACAAGAGCACAGGGCACATGATGTAGCCCAATGGGAAACTGAAACTACCTGGAAGGCCTTATTTCATATACAAAAGAAATCAAGATACAGCTAGTCCTGTTCTATTAGAATATTGGTAGATAAAACCTATACTTTTAAAAGTTTTTCAGTAACTCCTGGGTGGCCAACTTGGTACCACCAGTCCTTAAATAGGTGTTGGCAACTCCTGAGGTGCAGTGAAGGTGTTAAGTAGTAAAATAATATAATCAGATTATGCTTTTAATCTTTTTGCAAACCCATTTTAAATTTAACTTAGAAAAACATCTGTAAAAAGAACCAGAGCAATTTTATAAAGTAGGAGTAATAAGGAAAGACTAGTCTTAACAGATGGTAAAAATACTATCCAGTCATGGTAATTAAAGGAGTGGAGAACTTATGGATATGGACAAAGGTGGGGTAACTGCAGGGGGTTAGAGTGGAGCTGGAAGAGGGCCTAGAGAAGATACATAGTGATGAAAAAATAAAAATAAATAAATAAAAGAGTTTGATACCAGCATATTAATAGACAGATCACTGGAAAAAGTTGAAGAATAAATTAAAGGGCATGCGGGGCTTTAATATATGCTAAAGGTGGCATTTTATATCACTGAAGAGAAGTTTCCACATAATATTGAGATACCTGGATAGCTACATAATGCTAAGTGCCTACAAAATATCTTCTAATAAATTAAATTCTAGCTGGCTCGAAGATTTATATTTGAAAACTCGTCAAATTATAAAAAATCATGAAATAATTATTATGATCCTAGAGTGGAAGGGGAATTTTTAAAAGACACAGAAATCCCTGAAGTCCAAAAAGAAAAGCTTGCCATATTTGACTACTCCAAATACATTTAGAATGTATTTGCACTGTTCTAAACTTTAAGAATACAAAAATGAATCTGAACGTGAATAGGCTTCATCCTACGTTAGTTACAGGAGAAGTTGACATGATGGACATGTGAACGTGTACAAAGACACCAGTATGATTGACAGCACTAGACATTACCTGAAGGTATGGGGTTGGTGGGGAATGTATTGCCTGAAAACACCTGTATTTTCTTAGTCAATGTGTGTAACATAACAACAAAGTGGAAAATTTACTATCTATCACACATACAAAAGGGATCATTTCTTCATTATTGGAAAATTTATTAATGGACTAGAGGCCTGGTGCATGAAATTAATGCACAGGGGTTGGGGGGTAATCCCTCAGCCCAGCCTGCACCCTCTAGAATCTGGGACCCCCCAGTGGGATTGGGCCTAAACAAACATTTGGACATCCCTCTCACAATCCAGGACTGCTGGCTCCCAACTGCTCGCCTGTCTGACTGCTTGATTGCCCCTAACCACTTCTGCCTTCCAGACTGATCACCCCCTAACCACTCCCCTGCCAGACTGATTGCCCCTAACTCCCCTTTTCTACCTGCCTGGTCACCCCCAACTGCCCTCCCCTGCTTCAAGTGCTTACTTATCTGAACAAAGGAAAGGGACCAGGCCTGAAAGAATGAGCTGGAGCTATATGTGCTGATATTATATTTGGGAATTATATATTTCATGGAAAATTACTTTTAAAGGAAAAGAAGGATGAATAGTAAGTAAAGTACAAGCTAACAACTTTTTCTGGAAGTCTGTATGAGAAACTTAGCTAGTGGAAAGAGGGTCTAGGAAATAAAGGGAGAACAAGAAGGAGACTTGATTCATTTCATAAGCTTTTATGCTGTTTGGCTTTTTACCTTGTACCCCACGTGACTTCAAAAATAAATTTAATATTTAGACAAAAACAATGTACTCAGTCTTTTTAAAAAAAGAAAAAGAAAAAACAACAACCCTGGTAGTGATGTGGAAAATAAATCACATATAGACTTTTGTTAAGACAAAAATATTTACCATATACTCCTGGATGATTTCATTATCTTCTACCTTTCTCTGTAGTACTTGAAAATAATTCTTGATTTCTGTTTGTTCGCGAAAACTGAATCTTAATGGCCGAATCTGGGCCAACTGAATTAAATCCTTTTCAGAAATAAGCTGTATACCTAACGGAGAGAGAAATTCACACCTGTAACTTACTTGTATGTATATGAAAGGAGATTTTATTGTTTTCTCTTAAGTAAATACACAGCCACTTAAGGATAATGGAAGTTTATATTTTCAGAGGTCTATTTAAAAGGAAGTATCCTTGTTTTGGAAAAATCATGACTATATACTTTGAAATTACACCAAACCCACTGCTCTTGGAGAAAACTGTAAGCTCAATAAATGTAACAGAAGGCAAAGAGGTTCACAGGTGGAGCCCTAGGGAGCCCCAGCAGGACTGCCACAGATCTGGCCCCAGCTCTGAGCTGGAGGAGCCAACCCATTTACACCAACTGGCCCTCCCATGCACACACAGGTCTAGCAGATGCAGACACAAACACTGAACAGAGTAGTAGCTACAGAGTGATAGGCCAAGGTCTGAGAATGATCTGCATATGAAACCCATCTAAGAAGACCCAGAACCAAAACAACCAGCTTCTTCTCTTGTGCTAACTGCTTGGCTCTTGCTGCTTGGCTCTTGCTGTGGCTTCACATCACACCGGAGCTAGACCCAACTGGCCACACAAACAGCACATGAAAGGGGATCCCGACAGGCTCCAAACCCTCTGGGAACCACCCACCTCAGGGGGCAGCATCTGTGCAGAGCCCGACAACTGGTGCTTAAGGTTTGCCTCTATGGACACCAGGAGGAGGGTTAACAATTGTGTCACTGAGCCCAACAGAATGTGAACGGTGTAGTACTTTTATCCATAATTGCCAAAACCTGAAATCAACCCAAATGTCCTTCCACTGGTGAATGGATAATAAAACTGGTGTAGTTACAGAGTGTAATGTTACTCAGCAGAGAAAAAAAGTAAATTCTGATAAATGCAAAGACATGGATGAATATCAACAATACTATGCAAAGTGAAAAAAAGTAGACTCAAAAGGCAACATATATGTACGCTTCCAGTTACATAGAGGGAACAGAAGGAAAGCATTGCTGACTGCGGGGCTGGTGGCCGGCTGCGGAAGAGCAGAGACCGTGGCAAGAGTAGCCTCTGCCTGGGGTGTGGCTGACCTCTGTCCAACCTCAGAGAATGGTGTGCCGAAAGGCTGGGTTTCGCTCTATGTAAATGAATTTTCAACATTTTAAAATTATTTTCTTATCAACTATTTTTGTGAGACTTGTGTTTTAGTAATTGCAGTGTGATAATGCCTCAATTAGATTTGACATTTTTAAAATAAAAAGTCATTAGAGAAGTAATCTGACACTTGATGGGAGGTTGAAATGAGTGATCTCTAAACTCCTCTCAAACTCCAAAGTATGCATGTGCCCTCTAATTCACACCCAAAAGTTTTATATAATATATGGATAATGGTTTTATGTAGGTTTATATCACATATACATATACATATACATATACATGCATATATATATATATAAATATATGTGTGTGTGTGTGTGTGTGTGTGTATAATCCAAAATTATTATTTTATTTACAAAGCACATACTATGCAACAATGAATTAACATTAGGAGAATGAGGAAGGTCATATTCAAGTCTATACAAATCTATAATTCCTAGTTTAAGAAAATATAAAATAGCTCATTTTAATGTCATGTTTTATATATTAAAATATTTAAAGAAAGGATGGAAATTCATCCTTATGAATGTGGAGTGTGCAGTAAGAAAATCCCCAAAAATATGTTTTCCCATTTAAAAAAGTCTGTCTAGCTCTCTCCTGCATCTGTGCTAGAAAAGCTTTGTGCTCAGCAGCTCTGAACCAGCCTGTTTAAGGCCCTTCAGCAGAACGGGAGCAGTCGTACCGCGCACAGACGGGGAGACGGGCTGCGACGGCCCTGCATGCTCATCCTCGCCCATCCACTTGTCTCTGTGGTAGGCGTCATCGGCTGTCCACACCGTGTGTTCACTCTCACTAGAAAATAAATGTACATACTTATTCATGGGATCACAGAACTTAGGCATTTAAAAACCTCTTATAATCAACAGTCATTATTAATTGACATTCACCGGAATTTCTGTTTCACCACCTACTTCCATTGTCAGCACTCTGAGCTGACCCACTTCCCAAGAGATAATTCTGAAATCCCAGTGTCTGATCACAAACCCCATTTCCTCCAACTTTTACCTGTAAACCAGCCGCCTTGGACCTATCCACCTTCCACCTTCTCTCCTCCTTTACCTAGGCTGTGAGAGAGCAATATGAGGCTCACTCAGTGTTCTCATATCAACAGAGAGCCCTTTGGAAAACACTGGTATATCACTCGTTTTCTCTACCATCCCTCCACTGCCGCTAACCCTGAACTACCAGCCGCATGTAGTTCCTATCCTAACCCTCTGCTGTAGTAAAAATGCAGCTACTTCTAGAAAATGCAGGCCAGAAACCAGAACTCTTTCAACTTACTTTTAAAATGTGTACTGCCCTGATCAGTTTGGCTCAGTGGATAGAGCATCAGCCTGTGGACTAAAGGGTCCCGGGTTCGATTCCGGTCAAGGGCATGTACCTTGGTTGCGGATGCATCCCCAGTGGGGTGTGTGTGTGTGTGTGTGCAGGAGGCAGCTGATCGATGTTTCTCTCTCATCAATCTATCCCTCTCCCTTCCTCTCTGTAAAAAAACCAATAAAATATATATTAAAAATGTGTACTTAGATGCATTAACATTCTTCATTACTCCTTACTTTCTTCCTGTTCAAAATTCATCCTTCCACATTCTCAACTACAATGCCTTTGTCTCTTGAGACATTTTTTCTAAAATTCCATATATACATATGTTTTATATATATATAAAGTCTCCCCCTACCTACACATTCTTTAATATTATAAGGATACTTGATTCACCCTCATTGTAAAAATAGAAAACTCTTCAAACTTTCTATCTAAATCTAACTCCTGCTCTCTTTCTAAGAGACTTTTCAAATACAAATCCACACTCATTTCTTTTTGCTTTCCAACTTCTCATTGTGACTCAGTTTCTTCTCTTGTGCTATCTGCTTGGCTCTTGCTGTACTTTCACTTTTATCCCACTTAACAGAAGCCTCCTATTATTTGACTTATCGGTCTAATCTTTCATGTCTAGAAAAAAATTCCCACTAAAATTCAAATTTTATTCTACCTGTCTACCAACTTCAGAATAAACGAAGGCTCCTTCCTGAACACATAACTTTAGCATGTTGGCAATGTGGTCTCTGTCTCCTCTTTTTTTTTAATTAAGTTATTTATTTTTTATTCTTTATTGTTGTATTACATGTGTCCCTGTTTTCCCCCACTGACCTCTCCCAGCCTGCCCATACTCCCTAGCCCAGGCCTCGATCCCCCTACTGTCTATGTCCATTGGTTATGCATATATGCATACATGTTTATTAGTTGATGTCTTCCCAATCACCCATCCTCCCCTCTGAGGCATTCCCTCTGAGGTTTAACAGTCTGTCAATGCTTCTATGTCTCTGGACCTATTTATGTTTATCAGTTTACATTTTTCATTGATGTATATTCCACACTAGAGGCCTGACTGTACACTAGAGGTGTCCCTCAGCCAGGCCTGTAGGATTGGTCTGAAATTGGCTCTTTAACATCCCCAAGGGGTCCCAGATTGTGAGCGTGTACAGACCAGGCTGAGGAACCCAGCTGGTGCACAATCCGGGCTGGGGAGGGATGCAAGAGGTTGATCAGCCTGGGAGGGATTGTGGGAGGACTCCAGGGTGTGTCTGACCCATCTCATTCAGTCCTGATCAGCCAGACCCCAGCAGTAAGCTAACCTACAGGTTGAAGCATCTGCCCCCTGGTGGTCAGTGCACGTCATAGTGAGTGGTTGAGCAGCCTTGGCATATCATTAGCACAATACACTTTGATTGGTTGAATGGAGGACTAGATTACCAGACACTTAGCATATTAGGCCTTTATTAGAGGATACTAGTGAGATCATGTGGTATTTACCTTTCTCTAACTGGCTTTTTCACTTAGCATAATGCTCTCCAGTTCCATCCATGCTGTTGCAAATGGTAAAAGTTCCTTCTTTATTATAGTAGCATAGTATTCCATTGTGTAGATGTACCATTGTTTTTTAATCCACTCATCTGCTGATAGGCACTTAGGCTGTTTCCAAATCTTAGCTATTGTAAATTGTGCTGCTATGAACATAGGGGTGCATATATTCTTTCTGATTGGTGTTTCTGATTTCTTGGGATATATTCCTAAAAGTGGTGTCACTGGGTCAAATGCGAGTTCCTTTTTAAATATTTTAAGGAAGCTCCATACAGTTTTCCACAGTGGCTGTGCCAGTCTGCATTCCCATCAGCAGTGCACAAGTGTTCCCTTTTCTCCACATCTTTAGGAACACTTGTCATTTGTTGATTTATTGGTGATAGCCATTCTAACAGATATGAGGTGGCACCTCACTGTTGTTTTGATTTGCATCTCTTGAATCATTAGTGACTTTGAGCATGTTTTCATACATCTCTTAGACTTCTGTATGTTTACTTTCAAAAAGTATCCTTTGCCTCTTTTTTTATTGGATTTGTTTATCATCCTTTTGTTAAACTGTATGAATTCCCTATAAATTTTGAATATTAACCCCTTACTATTATAGATGATCACTGGCAAAAATGTTCTCCCATGCAGTGGGTTTTCTTGTTTTGTTGATGGTTTCTTTTGCTGTAGAGAAGCTTTTCATTTTGATGTAGTCCAATTTGTTTATTTTTTTCTTAATTTCCATTGTCCTAGGACAGTGGTCAGCAAACTGAGGCTCTCGAGCCACATGCAGTTTGCCATATGTTGACTAATGAGTTTGCCAACCACTGTACTAGGAGCTGTTTTGGTAAACATATTGCTACCAGAGATGCCTGACATTTTGCTGCCTATGGATTCTTCTGAGACTTTTATGGTTACATGTCTTAGATTTAAAACTTTTATCCATTTTGAGTTTATTTTTGTGTATGGTATAAGTTGGTGGTCCAGTTTCTTTCTTTTTATTTTTTCTTTTTTTCTTTTCTTTTCTTGTCTTTTCTTTATTTTTATTTTATTTTATTATTATTATTATTAGTCTTTCCTCTATTGTATGCTCTTGTCAAATATGAATTGAGCATAATGGCTTGGGTTGATTTCCTGGTTCTCTGTTCTGTTCCATTGGTCCATATGCCTGTTCTCGTGATAGTATCAGGCTGTTTTGAGTACAGTAGCTCTGTAGTAGAACTTGATATCTGGTATTGCAATCCTTCAACTTTATTCTTTTCTCTCAAGATTACTACAGCTTTTTGGAGTCTGTTTTTATTCCATATAAGTTTTTGAAGAGTTTTTTTCTAGGTCTGTGAAATATGTCATTTGTATTTTAATAGGAATTGCATTGAATCTGTAGATTGCCTTGAGTAGTATGGATATTTTAATGATGCTGGTTCTACCAATGCATTAACACGGTATATTCTTCACTTGTTTATATCTTACTCTCTCTTTTTTCAATATCCTGTAGTTTTTGTAGTACAGGTATTTTATCTCCTTGATTAAATTTATTCCTTAGGTTTTTGTTATAGTGGAAAATGGGTTTGTTTTCTTAGTTTCTCTTTCTGTGAGTTCATTGTTGGTGTATAAAAATGTCTTAGATTTCTGGGTGTTAAATTTGTATCCTGCTATGTTTTCAAATTTGCTTATTAAATCTATTAATTTTATGGAGTCTTTTATTTGAAAATATTGTACCATCCTTGCATCCCTGGAATAAATCCCACTTGGTCATGGTGTATGACGTTTTTGATATATTGTTGGATTTGCTAATATTTTGTCGAGAATTTTAGGATCTTTGTTCATTAAGAATATTTACCTGTAATTCTTTGTAGTATCTTTTTTAAAATAAATCTTCATTGTTCATATTATTACAGGTGCTCCTCTTCCCCCCCCCCGACCATAGTTCCCCTCCACCTGATTCCCCACCCCACCCCATGCCCTTACCCCCCGCCACTGTCTTCATCCATAAATGTAAGATTTTTGTTCAATCTCTTTCCGCAACCCACAGACCCCCTTCCCTCTGAGAACTGTCAGTCCACCCCCTTTCTATCTCCCTAATTCTATTATATTCACAAGTCTATTCTGTTTTCAGATTTTTTATTCACTTGATTTTTATTTTCAATTGTTGGTAGGTATGTATTTGATGTCTTTTTGTTGTTCATAATTTTTATCTTTACCTTTTTCTTCTTCCTCCTCTTCTTAAACAATACCCTTCAGCATTTCATGTAATCCTGGTTTGGTGGTGATGAACTCCTTTAGCTTTTTCTTGTCTGTGAAGCTCTTTATCTGACCTTCAATTCTGAATGATACCTTTGCTGGGTAGAGTAATCTTGGTTGTAGGTTCTTGCTGTTAATCACTTTGAATATTTCTTGTCACTCCCTTCTGGCCTGCATAGTTTCTGTTGATTAATCAGCTGACAGTCGTATGGGTACTCGCTTGTAGGTAACTAACTGTTTTTATATTGCTGCTTTCAAGATTCTCTCTTTGTCTTTTGTCCATGGCATTCTAATTATGTTGTGTCTTGGTGTGGTCCTCCTTGGATTCCTCTTGTTTGGGGTTCTCTGCACTTCCTGGACTTGTAAGTCTATTTCTTTCACCAGGTAGGGAAAGTTTTCTGTCATTATTTCTTCTAATAGGTTTTCAATATTTTGCTCTCTCTCTTCTTCTGGCACCCCAAAAATTTGGGTGTTGGTACCCTTAAAGATGTCCCAGAGGTTCCTTACACTATCTTCATATTTTTTTATTCTTTTTTCTTTTTGTTTTTCTGGTTGGGTGTTTTTTGTTTCCTCATATTTCAGATCTTTGGTTTGACTCTTGGGGTCCTTTGATCTACAGTTGAATTTCTGTATATTCTTTATCAGACTATACAGAATATACAGTGTATGCTTAATTTCTGACTGGTCCTTTTCCACTTTTTTTTTTT